AGATACCAATCAAGCACTATCTTGTGTTTACAATGTGTTGAGTGATACATGTGTATATATCAATTCCAACAGCAAACATGTCTGTTATTTCTTCGGAAATGCACTATGCATCTTATCATGAAAAACCGAGATGAAAGAATTAATTGTTGTTTTAGATACCCGTAGCAAAGTCCCAAATAAGCCTCGGCCTTGCGAACTCTTTTGTCTCCTCATGTTATATCTCACTGCTTTGAACTCTGTACTAGAGATAATTATAATCGGATTATAAGAGACTTTTTAATTTTCAGAGGTGCGCCATGGTCGATCTCTTCGCTGTGTCTAAATCTATGGATTAAAATGCTTCTTCGGCACTTCTTCTGAAAGTCAAGTCCTTCTTACCTATGCGTTTAACGACATCCACACCTTTATTTCATCACTTGTCATCTATAAATTTCTGACCTCATCATGATGGCCCTGTGCTAACGGGTAAGAAAAGATGGACTGTTGTTGGCTGACCAGATACCGGTATGTTGTAGAGCATTTCAGACGCAAAGAAAAATGTTCCTGGTCTTCAAAATGTGAGTGTACATGTCGCCAGTGTCCACTCTCTTGATAATTAATGTAGATCTAGTCCTGTTTGGTATGTTGTGAAATGGCAAGTAGACCTGTACGTGTAATAGGCCCTTTAGTTTAGGCCAGTCCGTCCGCCCCTACCTGTAGCTTATCGTTATCTCAGGAGATCCAGCTAAATTTAACCAAAGATTCTCTACTACTAGATCTACCAGTAGTGAATTTTTGATGAAACTGTCTTGAGTGTTGCCTTCTTTTAATATTACGCTTACTGTATCTTGAAATAAGTTGCAACATTGCGAGATACGTTATCACGTATCACCCCAGAAGAAAGCAGTAGAGATTTGAGGCCACTCGACACTCGCTAACTGCACGGGGAGTTGACAAAACAGAACGTTCACCCCGGCACCGCATTTGGTTGTAACCTAGACGGTCAGAGAACGTATCAGAACGTAAAGGTTGTAACTAAAACTTAAGTTACAAATAATCTTGTATAATGTCTGTAAATCTTAACTTACACACAGCACAAAACACAATGCCACCCACTGTACGCAGAAGAAAAGTATGGTTTAAGGCAAGATAACCATGATCTGACACGGCCATAATTTGGTTACCGTACTAGTATGTTGTCTTTGGATTATAGAGTAGCAGTACATTTAAAATGTGCCTTTTGGCCTATAGACTTTCTTAAGTTACCCCCCCCCCCCACGTTCAGTTAAAACGTTCGGTTAGTTGTCCGGTCCTCTTTGTGATAAGAAAATTACACATTATGCTATCTCTACAAAATACCCCTTCTTTGTAAATATTTTATGTCAACGTTTTATGTTTGAGGTGCATGCCGCATGCTGTAAATCCGAAATCCCTTATTGTTTTTTTAAAAAAACCCTTTAGGCTTACATCAAAGAAAACGTGTCAGAACCTTCGTTTGTAGTAACCTTTATGAATGGACTTTTAGATTATGTTGGTCATTCAACTTTTAGACCCGTACGCAAAGATCTGAACAGATTAAACAAAGCGATTTCATTTTATCGTGTTTTAACCCGCAGTCTGACGAAAGTGAACAAGCTATAGTCTTGAGTCAAGAGCTCGTGGCACTGCTGTCCCCCCACGTAAACGAACATGGGCTGCATGTGCCCACTCTGGGACGTGGAACCTCAAGGGCAAGACATGCGCAGTTCAACAGACGGGTGAGTACGTTTCGAGACTCACGGTCTCGGCGGTCTGAGGGGGGAAATCTTCAGGCTTGCACCAAGGAGCTTAGAACCACTGTAAACTCATTGGCTTGCATTGAAATATGGGGGCAGGTTGGCATTACTCATAATATATTGTATTAAGAGTTCGAGGGGAGCGGGGTGGAGGCTCAGGTTGTTCATGTAAATGGGGCACGCCGGCCATGCCAATGAGTGTTAAAAGTTTAAAAGGCCCATCATGTCTGACACGTGTGACGTCACTGCTGCGATCTCTAGTATTATAATAGATCTAACCTCTTTGGGTCTGGGGGTGTCATCTCTGGCTCAGAGGTTGAAGTGCAATATGACCCTGTAGCACTCACGGTCGCCAGCTGCCGTTCCACATTCTGATTTCCCCAGGCCAGTCCTGTGAGACACCTGAAGGCGGTTTTTAATGTAGGGCCCAAAATAGAGAAACTTTAAATTCAGTAATAAAAGAAGTTTTGGAAAAAAATTTACATGTATTATTGTTTGGTCGCTGGCCTGTAGAAGTGACATGCACAGTTTCGTGAGCGTAGGTGAATTAATAAATGAGATACATTTTTTTTACAAATCGCAGGCAGACGAAAATGAACAAGCTATAGACAGGGATAGGCCAAGCCCTCGGATATCTTAGAAAGATAGGCTAGGCCCAAGGAGCTTAGAACTAATGGAGCCTCCTCTCTCTCTTCGCGGCGCCGCGAGCAGTACGCCGCGTTGGGGGATCAAATATGGCCACCGAG